TCCAATTACTTATCTTATGAAAGAACAATGACAAGAAGTTAGTAGGAGTTAACATGCTAACAAGAAAAAAAAAATCCACAAGCAAAGCCAAGAAAATGGAACTGTTTTTATTGTTTTAAGCTGGGAAAAGTCTCCAGTGTCACTGCACACAGGATGAAGAGATGTCTGGTGTGTGGATGGCTCAGAGTAGCAACCAAGAGACTGGGCAAGACATTCCTCATGACCAATATGCTGAGATTTCAGACAGCCATCACACTTGATCTGTCTGACAGCTCTTGGAAGTCCTCGCATGACAAGTGCTACAGAAGTTCAATGTATCATTAAATACAAACATAGAGAAACTAACAACTGAAATGTTAAAAAAAAAAAGTCCTGAAGAGTCCTTCACAGCAAGTCTGTTTCAAATTGGGGAAACTGCATCTATTTCCAGCATTCAGCTTAACTTCACTCACCCTTAAGACACAAGACTCTACATAAATCCGTATTTTAATAATTTTGTGGCAAAACAATTCTATAAACCCTATCCATCACACAAGCAATTATCGAGAACTGAAAATCTGAAGATTAATACAGATATCATTCACCTCCTGAGCACTGTGAGCCAGGCTCCTGTGCAAAAAATACACAAAGCAGTTGGGGAATTGCTTGGTAATTCAAATACGGTGGAGGAAGTCACAGAACATGGGCTGCTGAAGAAAATGGCACAAAGCTCAGCCCTGTTCTGCACAGAGCCAGCTTCAATCCTCACACCTCATCTCCTCCTCACTCTGTGTTCCACTATGTGCCTTCTGGCTTTTGGCCAAACAGTTTGATACACGTGGCTTGTAGAGGCCAGTGTTTGCTTTAATACATTAACCCTTTGCTGTGCAATGGTTGTACAAAGCTTGTCCATCAAAAAAACCTCTGTCTTGCCAGGAAGGGATGACCTCCCCTGACTGTGATCTTGTTTAGGAACATTTTTATTCTACAACACAACATACATCTTCCATTTGCAAATGTTAAATTTTGAATTGAGAAAAGGGCAGGCAAGTGAAGACACAAGTATCACACAGAAGGTGTGTGATGAACTAAAGAAACACAGCTGAGCTATAAAGCTCCATCCAACACTTTAAGATTCTTTTGAAATGAGAGTAGGTATCTTTAAATACTGGCCTACCCTAATGCAAATGCAACTAAAATGATGATAAAAATTCTCAAATAATCATTTGCTAGCAAAAACACTTATGCTTAAGGGTCCTCAAAACTATCTGCATATGAGAAATCAATGGCCTTTGAAAACCTACTGCAACTTATATTGGCCAAAGTAATGAAAAACTACTATGGAAATGAAAACATGAGTAATTAAAAAAGACACACAAAATGTTCTCCACAATTTTGAAAGCATTATTATATGCTGCTTTAAACTAAACACATTTGCAAAAATAACAAACATCAAGATCTGATGGATGCTGAAAATAACATTTAAAGTGAGCTTAGATACTGATCTACAAAGGGTCACAATCAATGAATCTTCTACTGAATTCTGGTAAGAAGCTGCATCTGTTTGTGCTGCTTATAACCTGCAGAGATTAAGAAAGCTCTGCTAATTAAAATTTATTACAAAAATGTTTATTTCACCTTTACAATACTATTCTGATACCTGTTCATGCAGTTAGAACTCTTCCTCTACAACTTCTTTCCAATCACATTCCTATCCTTCAGGTCCCTACCCTGGAACTTGAGGTATAATCCAAGCAAGAGTTAAGTTCCCAAGATTTCAGGCCATACAGTGAGGTGGCACCTAATTTCCTTTTTTCCCTCTACGATCCTAGCAAGAGTTCTTTTAACCATGCATCCGAAAGCTTCTTTCTTCTCCATCATGTCCCAGCTTAGTAATGCAACTTTATTATCTTTTTTCAACTTCTATAAATTCAGTCTTTCTACCTTTTAAGGCAGAAAGGCAATACTGCAAAAATATTTTCTTCATTCACTGCTTTGATTACAGTTTTCTGTATTCTTCCTGATGCACCATAGCATGAACAACCTCCTTGCTGTAAATTTCAAGGCTCTGCATGGCCTGTTCTTGCTTCACCTCTTAAATTTGAATTGCTGCTCTGTTGAGATATCCCCTTGTCAAAACATAAGGAAGAAAACAGGAGTGTTGGCCTGGCAGTTCAGGCAGGAAACCAACTTTCTGTGAAAATCCTCAGGGTGACAATGCTCCCCTGCTTTAAACATATCCTCCAAGTCGGATGCCTGTGAATCACTCCCCGATGCCGAGATAGCCAGGGTACTTGAACTTCTGCATGTTCTTTTGCTCACAGCATTCTCACAGCTCCCTTGTGCTTTCCCAATACATTTCTTACATTTACATGCTGTCTTATCTTTACATTTAAATGAAGAAATTGTTTGTGCAGGAACAACCTTTGCTTATGCATTTGTACTGCGTGTAGTGTAATGGTGCCCTGGCCTCCAGGCACAATTACAATATAAATAATAAAAATGAACTGTTCACCTAAGATTAACTCTCCTGACAGTGCTACATGAAGCTACAGCCTTCAAACAATGATAAAAGGCTGTTCTAGCACCACATTCCACCATCTGTACCTCTCTGTAGGTACTGATGACACTAATTCCAAGTTCTTCACCTGCAGGAAGCCTCCACTGTTCCCTGTACTTATCTGTGTCCACAGCACCACTGGAATTTTTACTGATAACCAGGCAAAAAGCAGAATGAGATGTGGGCAAGCACTGTCCTACTGAAGGACCCTCTCCTCCCTTAACATAAGCCTGCTCCTGGGAAGAGCTGAGAATCCCTGGCATCTCACAGGAGCAGATTCAAGGCAGTTTTCCATCTGTCTGCTTAAACTCGTCAAATTTGCTTAAAAACATGGCCTTCAAAGAAGGTAAAGTACCAACCCAAAGTACTCTCCAATATGGCACTGCTGTTTAATGGAGGCATCCATAGCTGAGGAATTATTCTGTTCTGGCTTTGCCAGTTTAATGCAGGGCTCTTCGTTTTATCATTACTTAGACTGCACTTAGACTGAACATTCAGTGGAACATTTCCTATAATGGGATAAAGCAGTTGAACAATTTGACTGGCTAATAGTGATTTAGACATGTGATTACAGTACAGAAAATGGTCTGACATATGCTCTTTTATCTGGTTTACATGAGGCACATTAATCCAACTGGAAAGCACAGAAGTGAAAAGGAAGACAGGACCAAGCACTCTGAAGGAAAAAATAGAAAATAGCTTTAGTTGTCTCATTTCTGTATTTGCCAGGCTAGTTGTAATCAGTATTTTGTAAAAAGGAAAACTTACAAAATAAAACCATTTTCTTCCCAAAATGGATGCAACTACAAACCACCAGTCTACACCTATGCTGTGCATGTTTGAGAATAATTTTTTATAAAACCCTAGTTTCAAAAGCATTTATGACTTATGTCATAATGCCTTTACCAAAAGTACAGGATTTGCAGAAAGATGCAGCAGGATAGGGAGCACCAAGTGAGCCAGGAACAATCAGAGCGTGAACAAAAAGAGTACTGATTGATTTCAATTTTTGTCTCAGCTAATTTCCCACTTTTACACAAACACTTCTAACCACATCAGCAAAAGCTCATATTTTACAGGAATATTGTATTTCTCCCTAAACCTAAACAACAGTCCCATGACACCAAAAACCTAACTGAAGGCAAGGAATTACCTCTTTAACACACACTTTTTTTCGTCAAGAGTGCATACACAACCTCAAACTGGCCTAACAAGATATGTCAACTTTCACAGTAACACTATTTAGGTTTTTTGTGCAAACTGGTACATTTCAGTTGCACTTGCATTTTTCTTCAGAAAAATTTCCTTCAAAATAAAAACATTCAAAGGTTTCCTATGTAAGGTTTGGATTCTGTAAGTAAAAATAAAACCAAAGTATGTCAAACTAAACATAAAGGAGATGAATGCAGGAACTTCACCACGTGTACGTTTGCCAACTACTTTCAACGACCGCAATATTAAAAATTCTATCAGGAAAATAAGATAATGAAAAGAGGGAGCTGTAAACAACACAGCTTCCCCAAAACCAGAGGTGACATGAAAACCTTTGCAGGTAAACGCTCATCAATGAAAACAAGAAGAACGAAAAATCATGTATCCCAAACAAATTATAGTTCTGTTCTGGGATATTTGTGAATTTGTAAAAACAAACTCATATAAAAGATGAATGGTCTTCGCATTGGTTAGGTCCAGCCCAGCAGAATCCCTTGTCACGTTGTGGACTTCCACTGTGACCTTATGGTCGGGCTTGACCTTAAAAGTCTTTTCCAACCGAAATGATTCCGGCACGGAAATCGGCAGCGATGTTTGGGGAGGGCGTTTAGGGAAGCGCCGGGACAAACACGGCGGTGTCAAACGGAGCAAAACAAAGGCAACAACCTCTGCACCCCGAGGCTCGGACAGGCTCAGGAGCCGCTCTGGCCACCTCCTGACGCTCCCCGGCCCAACGTGCCGCCCAGCTTTGCCCTATTACCGCTGCCATCAGCTATGCCATGGCAAGCTCCATCCTACTCAAAAATAACCCGCGGGGAGCGCAGCCAGCGCGGCAGCGGCGCTTCCAGGGCCTCTCCCCGAGCGCAGCCCGGGCAGCGCTGCCCGGCCCGGCCCGGCTCGGCTCGCCGGGATCCCCGCCCGAGGCTGCGGGGAGCGGGGCGGCCCCCGGGGAGCGCCCGGCGGGGCGGGGGGAGCGCTGGGGCGGGCGAGCGCCCGCGCCCCCGGCGGGGAGAGGAGAGGCGGCGGCGAAGGGAGAGCTGCCAGCGGCAGGGAGCGGGCTCCCCCCGCCATCCTCCGCCCCCTCCCTCCGTGTGTTTGTTGTGCTCCGGCTCCGTCCCGCCGGCGCGTCCCTCCGTGCGGCGGCCGCTGACAGCTCCCCCCGCGCCGCCGAGAAACTCCTGCCTCAACTCCGCGTGTGCGCGGGGGGTGCGGGGGTGTCCTCCCCGCCGAGAACCGTGTTTCCCTTCCCAAAAAAAAAGAGGAGGGGAAGTGGGGGGCCATAACAAGGGAAAGCGACGAGGAACTGCCGGCAGCGCACAGGGAGCAACCCAGGCGACGCTGAAGGCAGCCGAGCGTCCTGGAAGGGAACGGACCCAAAAAGAAGGGGGAAGGTGCAAAGGCAAGGGAAGAAGGAGGAAGAGGGTGGAGGGGGAAGAGCCAAAGAGAAACTCCGAAGAAGGAGGGGAAGAAAGAAATAGAGATGGTGAAAGAAAAGTGGGAAAGGGAGAGCAGGCGGAGGAAGACAAAGGTGAAAAAGGAGGAGGAGGAGGGGAAAGTGCAAAGGGGAGAGGAGGAGAAGAAAGAAGGGCCCTTCTCAAAATGGCATTAGGCAGAGGGAGGGGGCGACGAGGAGCGAGTCTCCACTGACAGCTCTGCCTGCGCCTGGCCGCCTGCCCCGGCCCCTCTCTGCCTCGCACACACAAACGCTGAACTTACTTCTTTCTGGCTCTCTGGAAAGGGGAAGCGCCATCTTTGCGAGGCCGGCCCCTAGGTCTTTTGTCTGTGGCTGCTGCTGCTGCTGCTGGGGGGGGAGCTCCAGGCTCGGGGGGCTGCTGCTGCTGCTGAGGCGGCTCCACCACCGCCACCACCAGACTCTTGTCCTCCGTTGACATCCTAGTCAGCAGGACGAGAGAGACACATGGATGATGATGATGAGGATGAAGATGAGGATGGTGATGGGGATCCCGATGCTCCTCCTGCTCCCGCGGCTCCTCTCCTCCTCACCTCCGCCTCCTCCACCTCCGCCTCGCATCGCTGGCCTCAGCCGCCGCCGACCAGCACAGGTAGCAGGGGGAGCAGCATGGGGAGAGCAGGAGGAGGAGGAGGAGGGGAGGGGGGTGGGGGGGGGGAGCGAAGAGAAAGCGCAGAGGACGGAAGGAAGGGTCTCACACACAATAACACCCTCCCCGGGCTCGGCGGGGTCTGTCGGGGCTGGGGGAGGTGAGGAGAGCGAGCGACAGAGACGCGGCTGGTCCCGCCGCTGGGCGCCCCCGCTCAGAGGCCCCGGGCGCTGGCGGCGGCTCCGGCTGCTGCGCTGCCCGGCTGCGGCGGCCGCCGCTTCATTGTACCCTGGCCCTGCGCCCTCCCCCCGCGCAGAGCCCCCGGGGGCGGAGGAGGAGCGGGCGGCGGCGGCGGAGGCGGCGGGGGCCGAGGCCGAGCGGAGGAAGTTTTGACAGCTCCAGCTGTTGTGTGTGTCGAGGGGCTGAGTCCGGCCGGGCTCCGCGTCCCCTTCCCAGCCGGGCCGGGAGCAGGAAGTTTAACTTTGGGGAAAGAAGGAGGAGGAAGGGTGAAAAAGGGGGAGGAGGAAGGGGGAGGAGGAGGCGGCGCCCTGCCCCCTCCCCGCGGGGTGGAGAAGGGATCCCGGCGCTGCCCTGGTGTGTAACCCCCGCCTCCCCGACTCCCTTCCCCCCTGCCAGTGCGACACATAGACACAGCGACCGACCGCCCTCCTCCTCCTCCCCTGCCGCGGCCCCACACTGCGCCTGCCCCGCCCGCCCACCGCCCGTCCCCCGGCGCAGACACCCATCCGCCGCCTCGCCGACCTCACGGGCTGGGCTGGGGCCGCGCCGGGCTGCGGCGAAACCGCGGAGCGGGGCCCGGACGGGACGCGGCGCCACGGGGAGCTCCGCGCACCGCGCCCCGGCCGCTGCCCCAGTGCTCCCCCGCCCTCTCCCCGCCCGTGTTATTCCTTTTCATTTATTTCCCCGTGGAAAAGGAAAAGCCCCTCCGGGATGCCGGCGGCCGCTCCCCGCGCGCGGGCTGCGCTCCGCAGGACGCGGCTCCGGGCGCAGCGCTCGGTGCCCGCCCCGGCGGCGCTCGCTCCCCCCGAGCCCCGCGGAGCCCCCGGGGAGGCGGCGGGAGCGCTCCCCCTTCCCCCTCCGCGCGTCTGCGGCTCGGGGCGGTGGAGGCGGGGGGAGCCGCGGGCGCCCCGGGGGATGGGAAGGAGGGAGGGAGCAGAGTTCAGCGCTGTGTGCGAGGGAGACAAAGTCTGGGGAGCGTGGCCGCTTTCCAGCAGCTCCGGCTGGAACAGCTGCGGGCGCTCGGGGCGGGGGGGGCTCCCCGGGCTGGCTGGCTGCCTGCCCGCCCGGCTGCGGGGCGGGGTTAAGCCTCATTACACGGGATTTAACGTGTCCCGGAGGCCAGCGGGGACTCGGGCTCCGAGGGGAGGCGGGGGAGCGCCGCGGCCTCGCAGCCGGAGAAAAGTCCGGCCACGGGGCGAGGAAGCGGCCGCGCCCCCGGACTTTCCTCCCGGGCGCTGCCCCGGCGCGCTCCGCTGCCCGCGGCGGGAGCGGCTCCAGCGG